GTGAATGTGCTCCTTCTGAAGCCTGTAAGGAGGTGTGAGATCCCATTGTTTGACGTTTTAGCGAGTTGGACGGAGACTTCAGTAACTAAGGTCTCTCTGTCTTTACTGCTGGGTAAGATCTAAGTTATAAGTAAATTAAAAAAGTAGAAGATTTGATGCAGGGGGTGGGAGCTGCAGAGCTGAAGATTTGACTGTCAAAATTGGCTGGTTTGCCTGCCCACGAGAGTGAAAGTGTGGAAGGTCCTCTATGGAAGAGAGTGGCAAGAAACTTAGAAACATAGAACTTGCAAGAATATTAGAGGAGTAGTGGACTGGGATACCAGCTGTAGGACTTCTTTCTGTGATGTATTTGTTCAGCAGTGCAGGGGGAAAAAACTTGTCAGTCCCAAGCCAGAGCAGGGGGAGTGTCACTGTTTTGACATCAAGGCAACACATCTCACCATTACTGTCCTCCTGGGTTGATACAGTGCAAGGATCAATAAAAAAAAAAATTAAGCAGCTACAAGCCCCGCTACATGGAGGATATGGAGCAAGTGTTTGAGGGCTGTCAGGAAGCAGAGCGCAAGCGATTGTGCTTCTTTAAGGAGATGTTCCTGAATCTGCACCAGCATCTCAACCTCTCCACCAGTGAAAGGTACCAGCCCTGACACGGAAGGGAAGTTTGCCAGCCTGGGCTGCGCTGGGCTCTGGTGAGGGGTGCCAATTCTGGTGTCTCTGAAAAGGAGCTGCCTGCTTGCATCTGCCAGGTCTCACTCCTCCTCCTTCCAAGTGTGTCTTAGAACTGGCATTTGGTCCCTTGATATTCACCAGTGCTGGTGCCTCTGACCTTGGACAATGCCAGGCTCCCCAGAGAAGATTCTTTCTGCTTCTGAACCCTTCCTCTTCCGCTACTGTCCAGTAGTGTCCTATGGGTGTGTTTCCATTCTATGAAATGCATCCATATTGCTATATGTAATCCCAGTCCGAGGAATGCAGTTCGGTTGCCTTCTAGTATCTATAGCTGTTACACCCATTCTGCCCTGAGTAAAGAGACCTTTTGTGAGATAATGATAACCGTAAGCCCACAAGTTGCCCTTAAGTAGGGCTTACACAGGGAAAACGGGCACAACCAAAAATCTTCTGTGCTCCTGTACTTCTAAGGTGGAGGCAACAGACCTGAGCCACCTCCCTGTCTGTATGCAAGAATGTGCTGGGCTCTTTCAGTGCTCACTCGATGAGCTGCGCTGAAAGCCAGCAGATGTTAGCCACTGCTACACCAAACAAGCCTGTCCCGTTTGCCAGGCTGGCCCTTCCGTAAGGGTGGCTCTGTTTTCCTAGGGCTGAACAGGTGCTGCTCTAGCATGCTTATTCGTGTGGGACTTTGGATGCAACTTGGTTCTTTCTGTTCCTCGTCATAGCTTTCATGCGTTGTATCGAGATCTCTACCAAGTCATCATGGCTGCAGACAACCAAGAGGATCTGAAGTGGTGGCGCAACACTCATGGACCAGGCATGGCGATGAATTGGCCTCAGTTTGAGGTGATGTAGCATTCTAGAGTGTATTACTACTATTGCCAAACATTTAGCTGCTTTACTGAAATTGGTGGATTGGTAGTCTTGTGTTGGAGAAACCATGTCTTTGCTTGGCAGGCTCAGGATGTTAGGCTCTTCTAAAACTTCTGTTGTGTTGCAAGCTCTCTGGTGCCCAAAAGGACACGTGCAACCCTGCCAAACTGCAAATACTCCAGCCATCCAGCTCCAAGGTCAAAGAACAGGAGCTGGTGCTCAGGGCCTTACGACAAGTTTCTATTATTTTCCCACAGCCTCTCTCGTTGCACCTTGGGATTCAACAGGAGTGAGCCTGCTATGTCAGCAAGGCCATTTGGTTGGCCAGACCAGCCACAACTGAAGTGTAACCTGGTGTTCTGCCCTTCTCTATTAATCAGAGAAGATGCACAGAGCTTCTGTATCTGAGTGGCTTGATGGTGTTACTGCTTTTCCCTGAACAGGAGTGGTCCCTTGAAACACAGCGGCCAATCACCAAGAAGGAGAAGAGTGGCAAGATGGCTGACGATGTCACGCTGACCAGCATTTTGCCTGCACGGGATGGTGTTGTCTCACAGACCCCTCTGCAGACAAGGCAAGGGTAAGGGCTGAAGTCTGGGATACATCAGGTTAGGGAAAGTACAGTCCTGCCTAGGGTCATGAATGAGTTGGATTGATAGGAATGATCTCTTCTGTAATCTCCTGTCTCTTGCCCATGGCATTGCCCATGCCACTGGAAAAGACAGGGTACAAAAGGGGATTTAGGATAGTGTGTCACTTTTGGATTTGTGAGTTGTGTGGTTTGGTGTTTTTTTGTCTGGTATGTACTGCCTCACAGGGTGCCTTCCTTGTAAAGACCCTTCTAGTGATGAGATGTGGCCTGGTCAGACTAATGCTTTGTGAGATTCTGGCTTGTATTTCCCCAGTTCCTCCCAGAGAAGGTGAGGAGAGCTGTGAACTGGCAGCCTGGCCAGTTAGTTGTACTGTTTGCTAAATGCAGGTGTTTGGTTTTGTTTGTTTCTCTCACCTGGCATGGTGCTGAGTACTACCTGACAAGTCTGGGTATTGCCGCTTCCCTTGCCAGGAAGCGAGCTGGAGAATAGGGAGAGGCTGAAGAGACTCGTGTCCTACAGTTCCAGTAGCTATTCTGCTTTAAACAGTGAACTCTGGCCTAAATGAACTGGGCAGAAAAGAATGGGGATATAGAGGTGTCTCAAGGCTACTACTATATTTCACAGTCTGCTGGATTCAGAGGCCCTGTTTGCCAATCTACAGGTTTTCCTATCAGGAGGAGGAGGAGAACAGCCTCTTCTATGACAGCCTGAGGGCACTCGCCCATGTGAAGTTAGTATGGAACACAGCCTCTTCAGGGTGTTTTGGGTTCCAGGTGCCTGTCTTCTGCTGCCCTTCCCCTCTGCTCTTGTTCCTGACTTGGGAAAACGGCATTCCAGACATGGTTCTTTGGGATGGGAGACACGGCTTTTCCTGTCTGTCTTATTCTTGGCTGGAACAACTCTGGACGCAGCTGGGCTCTCCAGTTAGAATGGGCCTTCCTTGTGTGAGACGGCCTGCTAGAGTAGGATGAGGTCATGAAGAGTGTGCATGTGTGAAAATACTTTGAGAAGGAGTTACCCTCCTGGCCCTCAGGGCTCTAGTGCTGGGATGCTTTCAACCAAATCTAGTATCTCCTGGGATCTCTCCTTAACTGGCTGTTGGGCCTCTTGCACCTTGTTCTATAGCATAGCAGTCCTGGGAGGAGTCAAGGTGGTGCACGATTCAGGAGGAGGTGGGTGAGAGATGAGTCTACTAACAACTATCTTGTCCTCTCTCTCCTTCCACGTACAAAGCGGAGGGAAGGAAGACATTTCGGAGTGGTCAGATGAGGACACTCCCAAGAAGTGCCTGGATGCCAACGGGCACGAGGAGGACATAAAGGTACCAGGTGTACGGGTACGAGCGCTGTATGATTACACAGGACAGGAGGCTGATGAGCTGAGCTTTAAAGCAGGTACAGAAGCACTAATCTCTTACTAACCTTTTGCTGTCTGCACTCGGGCTGACTGAATGATTGAAACACCCTCTAAGAACTAGATGTCCCCTTGAAAACTGATACTTACTCTTCTTCGCGTGGCCTGACCCATTGCCAGCTCCTCTGAGATGTGTGGTATACTAGGTAGTCCGACCTGCTGTAGACTGAGACAGCGAGGCCACATAAAAAGAGACTGCCTAGGCCTTGGTCACAGTGTAGGAAGAGCAGACCCCAAGTGGTAAAACAGATCCTTCCTGCCTCCTCTTAAGACATTCATTCCACGTTGTATCTTGAGATGTTATTAAATTCTTCTCCCTTGTGCCACTGATATCAAAATTACATAGGTGGTCTGGATTGTGCTTTGAAGTGACTAGAAGATCTTTTGTGAGACAGCTTAGCTGACATGCACTACTGAAGGCAGAGTTCAGCTGGCAAACACAGCTATGCAAACTGTTGCTCAGAATGGGTATCTTGAGAGTGGAGGTCCTGGATCGCGGCAGAGGATTGAGTGAGAGAGAACACCGGAGCAAACAGACCCTTCTTCCCCTTTTCTTCCTTCAGTTAAATTTAGTTTGCATGTGCCATCTTCTCCAAGAGGACATCTGGATCCTGAGAGTGTCTCTAATCTTGCTTTTTTTGAGTCTTACATGGTATCTCTGTGCAATACCTCTCCAAAATACACCTGTTTTAAAAAGGCACTGAAGCCCTTCAGTAGCAGGGGCTTGTGCCTGAGGCCATTATCTATGCTGTAGTGTTACCATACTAGTAAACTTCCTAACACTAACTTGTTGCTTTAAAATATCTTACAATGTGGGTGCTCTAGAACTTGACTCTTTGCTCTGTCTTTCCACCCAGCAGATGTAATGAGGCATGACTGGTTAGCTTCAGTCATCCTCTTCTTGAATCTGCTCTGAGCAGCATGCACCAGTAGGGTTTAAGCATGACAGCAGATGACTTTCTGAGCCTCTGCCAGTGTGGGATACACCTATTGATGCAGTCAGACCTCCCTCTCTGGCAGAAGTATGACTTTCTACTGGTGGAGAATGGGACATTTCTGCCCTTTCCCAAGGTAGATGTGGGAAGGTTAAAAGACTTTCCTGGTCATAGTCTGAGAAATTAGTTGATTCCCCATGCCTTGCTGGCCAAACCAGGCGCTCCATCATGGAATAGTCGTTTTGGGTCCTAACAGCCAGAGCTTAGTAGCCTTTTACATTTCCTTCCCACCTGCTACGGAGGAGCCACTGAGAAGGAAATCTGAGATATTTCTGATCTCTCTCTGGCTTGTAAGCACGCTCCTCTGGGGGAGAGGAAAGCAGACATAAATATAGGGCACAGAAGTATTTCTGATGTTGAACAGCAGAAGTGAAGGTCTGTCTCGAAGTTCCTTGGCCTGGGGGATGGTACTGAGCATAGATACTGAAGAGGTCAGTAACTCTGGCTTTGACTAAGCTGTGCAGTATGATACAGAGTGTGATAACGGGAGAAAAGTGTAGTGATTCAGACCAACAGGTTTTGCTTTTTTGTCAGCTCTTCTAAGGTGGGGAAAAATGCCATGCTACCTTTCCCAAGGCTGCTTCCTAATGACTGGTTTTGCTTTTAGGTGAAGAACTAATGAAGATTAGTGAAGAAGATGAGCAGGGCTGGTGCAAGGGCCGACTTCTCACTGGCCAAGTTGGACTCTATCCTGCTAACTATGTTGAGAAGGTTGGATCATGATTGCTGCTGCCCTGCTAGTCTCTCGCAGCCATACCAGCATCTCCTGCAAAGGTCACTGCTGGCCCAAATCCACCTTTGCAGTATATCCAGCAACTTCTGGACTTTGAGGGCATGTATCCCATGTAACTAATGCTTCATTTTAAATGCCTAGACCTGTAGGGATTTTCTAATAAATAAACAAGGGTGAGTAATGACTTCTCTGACTGTGAGCACTATAAGAATGTAGGAGTGCATAAGGGAACAGATCTTGACTGGCACTCAGTGAAGGGAGATGTGACACATGCAACTCTTCAAAAAGAAGAAAGACTTCCTTGGCTTCAGGGCACTTGCATCCATAGGGTGATGGGGTCTGCCCTGTCCCCAGGCTTCCTGTTGAAGGAACTTTGGATGTGCAGGGCAATAGGGAACTTACAGTATTGCTTCCCCTTTTTGGCTTAATCAAGCTGACTGGCAGAAATCTATTCTCCCAGATCTTTCAGAAGTCTTCATTATCTTTAACCTGCAGGCTTGCTGGCTTCCCTGGTAAGGCAACTGGTATAAGTAATACAGCTTCAACAACCTGGATGTCCCCTCCCACTGCCCTCAGATTTATTGGGATAACACCAGGAATTAATGATAGCATAGCTTGGGGACAGGAGAAAGATTTCTCTCTTCTGTGATGTGGCTAACAAGTTGTGAACAGAACTGTCTGGCAGCAGGTCGGAGTTGACTCAACGTTCCCTGAGGTAGAATGGGTCTTGACAGACATGGAAGGCTGTTATTAAGAGGCAGCCACATTCCAGTGCTGTTCTGCTTAGGACCCCTAAACGCACTAGTATGTTAGGGGTTTCTAATACGTCTAGATTGTTTTGGCTACGCTTCTCTTCATGAGCACTCAGTGCACAGCAGAGACTTTTTTTCCTTCTCCTACATATTCTTGATTTATGCATGCTAGAAATGCACTCCCTGCTTTGCCAAAGACCCCTGCACTGTGATGAAGGGTAGCAGAGTGTGGAAGCTACCTGCTGTCTGGCACAACATTAGCCATAGAGGGATAACTTTTCTTTTGGTCCTGAATTGCTGCAGATGTACTTGTGCCCCGTTATTAAGTGCTATTCAGCAGGGATGACCTATCAAACCTCTTTATCTGGATTGTCTTTCTGCCCTTGAAAGCCTGTGAGGCTGCTGAGACAAAGTGGGGTCCTGATCCTAGTGCTCTGTGTGTTCAAACATGAGGACTGATGGGCATGTTCTGTATAGGATAAGCCCAAGAGCTTGATGGAACAAAGAAAGGAAAAGGTACTATTTTTGGAAAAACAAAAAAACCCAAACAATAGTTTAAAAATGGTTTACTTACTACATCTGCTTGAAATTGTTGTTGAGATGCATTGTGAGTTTGTAGTAGCCTTCTGTAGTGAAATTCTTATTCTGGGTTAGCACATGCGAGGAACTTGCAACACTCAGTTAAGCCTCCACCAGCCACACCGGGGTGAACTGCTTCAGAGCTGTTTGGAAAAAGGGTGCTACAGATAAGGAAGTCTGAAGTCATAGGTGAGCATTTGGAATTAAATGACTGCAGAATGTTAACAGCAGCTAGTCAACCAGAATGGATGTTTTAACAAGTGTAAACTGAAAAGGGGGTGGGGATGGACAGATTCAAACACTATTAACTCATGAGATTAAAGCATCACAAACATATTGTTGCCTGCCTGCTAGAGCAGAAATTAACCTTTTACAGTACACTGGATGTCTTGAAATGTAGTCTGCTGTGGACAAAGAGGTCTGAGCCTAATGCTATTTAGTGCTTTTATGAAACCACAAAAATGCATCAGCTGTTGAAATGTCTTGCTCAAAGTATCCCTAGCACTGTACTTCATGAATGGCTAAAGCATTTTGTTCTGAAGCAGTAATACCATTTCTCAAGAAAAGTATTCCCAAAAGGCAATTAAATATCTAAGCAACAGACACTAAAAATGCTTGGATTTAGCTATGAATTTACCTGTTATTCTAGGTCTAAGATCTGATGAAACCTCTAAGCTTATGCCATGCAATTAGAGGTGTCAGTGTATAAGCACTTGGATTTATTTAAAGGCCTAGTCTCTGCTTTCAGTACTATGTCCCAGGTTATGTATCATTAGTGTTGTAGAGTAATTGCAAGTGTACCACTTGCTGACCCACAACTGAGTGATTTGTTGCTGCTTTGTCCTAACACACGTGAATGTAAAGAGAGCATGCCTGCCAGGCTTGTGAGATAACAGGAGTTATCTCCTACAGTTATCTCCTACAGTCAGGGATAAAATGACCTGATGCGTGCTACAGTGAATACTGAAATCTACCTTGTTAGCCTGGATATTTTCAAACACTAATGCTAGCCTTTCATGAAAGGTCAAAAAATTCTAGAAGGGAGTTATGAAGGATAACATGGAGGCTTGACTTCAATTTCTCTCCTGAGTTCTAGTCAGGCTATAATTAGGGATGGAGTTAGGTGTGGCCAGAACCTGCTATGAAAACAGAAACGTCCAGTGGACAGGATCCCTGATTACAGTACAAACAACCTGAAATTCCACAGGACAAAGTCTGAATGGACTTGTTTGTCCTAGGAAAACATGACCACCTGATCACAGTGGGCTGCTTGAAGGGTTACCAGAAATAGTGACATACTGCAGCTTATGTGAACAAGTCCCCTAAAGGAATGTTTGCACATCAGAAATTCCTGCCAAGAGTTGAAGTAGTGGACAGGAGACAACACTCTGAGAATGAAGAATTGCTTGGCTGGACAGTACCTCATAAATTTTGGCAGGGCACTTAGTCCTGGCTACCCAAAACCAAATGGATTAGTAAAAGAGAGCCTGTGTAGAAAAGAACCAGCTGGAGGGGGAAAAAAAACCCAACCAAACACAAATTATCTTATATTAAACTAACAGCTCTGCCTGGAGACTCAGTTTTCCACAGAAGCTCTAGTTTAATCTTGTCATCCATGCCATGCCAAAAGTTTTGTGTGTGAACAGAGAGGTGCACACATGAACTAATTGTTGTGCCTGAACTCCAGAAGGCCAGCAAAGCCTGTTCTTCCCCCATGGCTTCTGTAAAAACATACAGATGTGTCTCTGTGCCTGATGGGCCACACAGTGAAAACATTATCCAGTCTTATTTTTTAATAAAGCCACTTCTTGTGGAACACTTGTACATCTGTGGTTGGCAGGTAATCAGTTTGGTTCTGACATCTTCCTGGAAAAGACTTTCTAAAGTATCACACAAAGCGTGGCTTTCCTGTTGATCATGAATTTTCTAAGAAGAGGAAGTTAAAGATTCTCTATGCTGGATCACGCATATTTCCCCAAAGCAGCAGCTGAGCTTGCTCAACCCATTAATGATGTTTCTGCCCTGTAGGCAAAATCTGAGTCGCAGAACCCATGGGACAGCTGTGCTCTGTGATGGCAGATGGGAGTTGTGGTTAGGGTGCAAGTATCAGTAGTCCTCCTACAGCCCTGCGTGGAGCTTGGGGCCACTGGTGCTTCAGTTTATTTTCCATTCCACTTCCCCATCCCCTGTGTCCTTGTGGCTTGTTGCCTGGTGCAAAGCACCAAGGCAGGTGCCAGTATGTGGCAATCCTGCCCGGGGACCCCTCAGAGCTGTTACAAACTGTCCCGTGCTTCTGCTTGTTTGCAGATCCAGCTCAAGGCCACAGCCATGCAGAGCTGAGCTCTGCTCTTTCAGGCAGGTTCTCCCTGGCTGAAGTGCAGGCTGTGCATGAACTGGGGCTGCCTCAGGCGCGTTTAGAGAGCTGCTAGTGCGATGCTTATGGGCAGCAAGCTGCAAAAATTCCTCTCTGCTTGTGGAGAAAGCTGGTGCTGGAGTTAAAATGGGCTTGAACACTCAGGTGGTCGCTTCTAGGGTAACTACAGAGAGACTTGCTGCAGACCAGTTGTGGCTGAACCTGAGACAAAGCCAAGTGCCGCAAACTCCATCTTGACCCATGGAAATGTAGTTGGAAAATACCCACTACAGGCTGGCAGGAAAGGTTGTGCAAAACAAGCAAGAATAGTAAGGCTGTGTGATATCAGACAAAGTGTCTTCTAAGGGACCTTGAAAACACACACGCACGCACACCTCCCACACGCCCCCCCACACACAAAAGAGAAACAGAAAAAGACCTGCAACCAAGCGCTGCACTGCTGCCCAGGTTCAGGCTTCAAACAGCTGGAAAACTCAGGAGCTACAAGGGAGTGAGACTGTTTACCAGGCTACCTACATTCTTAGAAGACCACAGAAGATGACTATGAGAAGGTATTTCTGGAGAAGATGAACAAATCCTTGCTGAAAGGGGGGGAGGGACAGGGAGGGAGGGGGCAATGGGGTAGGCTCTGTAACTAGAAGCAATTGGCTGCTTTACTGTTGGAACATCTTGACTAAGCAGCATAGCTCCAGTGAACTTTTCCAAACCAAATTTCAAGCCAAATCACCTCAGCTGCTTTCAGCACATCCATTTTACTGGCTGTGTCCTCCTGTTTTTCATCACCCAGTAAGGGTGTTGGTCTCTCAGTTTAAGGCAATTACAGCTGTAGCTTGAGGCTTCCTTTCTCCATAAGCAGGGTGGTGGTCAGCACCTATTCCCCCACAGTGTGTGGGCCCGTAATCTCTCCTGTTCAGTCCCAGCGCTTTCACTGAGTCCAGCTAATTACAGGTCCTGTGGTCCCTTCCTCCCTGCGTTTCCTTTCTATCCTGCCAGCTGAAGTCTTCTTCCAGGTCCTGCGCTCTCCCCCTTTGATTTCACTACCTCTTTCCTTCCTGAGTCTATTGTTCCTGCTTTCAGCGGGAGGCTGACACCAAAACAGTCGCTGTCCCCAGCTGTGACCACACTAGCTCTTTCTCTCAAATTCTCCCCAGGGCTTCCCCACAGGTGCCACACAGTTCCTAAGGAATGCTGCATCCACAATCCCATGGATGCTTGTCTCGCCAGTGGCCCTGCACACATTGTGGCCACCTGCGGAGATGAAGCACTGCTACCTACTCCCTCTCCACCCAAATCCCCCATAATAACCTTTCTGACACCAGTGCTTGCACTCTGTGAGAACTGTATATTTTCAAAAGAGCTTCGGAGTAAACCAACAGCTTTCTCATCTTGCCTTGCTTACGTTGTCTTTTCCTTCGCTCAGCCTGCCCTGCTTTCAAGGGGCACTGCTGCTTTAGGCATGCTCCCTACGCTGCTTGG